GCCGAGTGCCATCAAAACAAAACTAGATTTATATTTTAGGTAAAAAATGCAATGTGCTCTGTAGATAACAATATTTTATTCCAACTCAACTCAACTGTCATACTAGTGTAAAAATAATCTCATGTAGGCTATTGACTTATTACTTAGAAATGGCATGTCGACTTAATATTAGTGTGATTGGGAAAGGGTTTCGAAATTTATTTGAACATTGTGAAAACATAAATGTTATAGATGCCCACTTTGGTTTTTTGTACTTGAATTTTAACTATTTTTTATCTTGGTCCCTCAAATGTGCTGGTCATGGATAGGTCTACATAAACACGTTAGCCTGCCTGTTTAAAGTAAGTATTATCTGGTATATGTTAGTTTACTTTTGATGTGTGATTTAGAATTTTTTTCACTTGTATTTAGGAGATTAGGACTATTTTAAAAATAAGTACCGGTATGTTTTAAATCATGGTTTTAAAGTAAATAAAATATAAAGAACATGGTTTAAGTTTCCTGGCTTCGTCAAGTGATCCTTGTTTCAAGTTGTACCCTACAGTACATTACTATATATTTTACTGTATGACTCATCTTCCGGCGCCGCCGCACGTGTCACCTATAATAGTACTGGTCGGTTTTTAAAGTATTTATTAGTTTTTGTATTTTTGTCGTGTGTCATGTGTGTTCTGAATGTCGACGGATCTAGCCAAATTGGATAGAAGACCAGACGTTTTTGTCACCTGATGATGGACTCTTAAAGAAGTCCAAAACTAGTAGTGTACTACTAAAAACAAGGATCACTTAATGAAGCCAGGTAACTTAAAGCCATTTTGCTCAAATTTAATGATCCAGAGGCAAATTACAACATTAATATAGAAGGAATAAATTATTATTTGTAGTTAAGCAAATTATATCTGGAAAATTAAATATACTGTTTACTAAAATACAAGCATAACAGCCATTAATTGTCATGATTAACCATAGATTTTCATGTTTTCCAAATAATTTTTTTTATAAAAATCTACCAAGAAGGTCAAATTTGTATTAAGGATTTATTCGGCATGATTAGTTTTGTTGAAATGTCATATGAGATAATTACTTATCTGATGCCAAACTGTACTACTATCACCTGCCATATTTATGGATTGTAATTTTTTCAGGCGAATCGACTTACCTGTAGTAAAGACTGCCAAGAAGATCTGTGATGTTGCGGGATTCAGTTCAAATTTACGTTTCCATTCTTCCTTAAAGTAATTTTAAGTGACATTTTAAATTTTATTTATTATACACTTTCATGGACAGTTTATTATATGTGTACTTTATACAAATTCTGTTACTTCTTTTTAAATGTATTAGATATAGGTAAAACTTGTTGTTTTACGTTTGTGATATGGTATTGTAAAATATAACAACCATGTACAAACATGGACGCTCTAGCTTTATATTTTGCTTTTAATTATTCCCTGGTTTATATTAACCTTTTTGTTTTTACTAAAAATGTATTTATTTTTGGCTATAATCCTAATGGATGCATTGGTTATTTTAAAATTCAAAAAACACAATGCCCAAATGCAAATACAAACTAATGTTAGTTATCAAAAATCTAATTCTCAGCTGTTTTAGAATGCACAAACATGTAAAACTAGCTGTGTGCCCGTTCTACGCACGGGGATCTTATAGTAGTCAGTTGAAATCTTCTTATATTAAGATTAAGAACAGCAATTAGTTTGCACATTTGCAGATATGCTGGCAAAACTATTATATATAAACCTTTGCAAATACAGTATCTGACAGTAAGCCAAAATAAATGCTTCGCAATTAAATGTCACCCGGATCGTGTTGGTCCATATGTCCAATGATTAAACTAAAAAATGTTTTATAGATCCATGAAGCGTAGCCCTAAAGTAGGCCTATAATTGAAAGTTACTTTCCACATCGGTTAACTTAAACGTATTTAAAGTACTACCTCAACCTCACCATTTAACTCTTTATTCCGTTGACATTTTCAGTATCAAAGGTGCTCTTGTCCATTCCGTGAAACACTGAGAAATAAGGACATTAATGCGTTACCAACATACAACAAAACAACACAATACAACAATCCAACAAAGGCCACGAACTATTGATACATAAACAATATAAAGGCGTAAACAATTCATGATGGTTTGCCCAACAAATGTTTTACTCAAATAGGTTATCATTTTCTTAGAACACCGGGTAAGCTAAGATTTGGAATCCAGACAGAAAAAGCAAAACTATACAGAGTTAAGACATCACTTAAATTGAATACGGACGGCTCTAATAAATAAGGTGCAACAACAACGATATCAAATTTGTAAACTACTGGTTCTAAGGAAAAGAACCAGTACCTACGTAAGAACCTACCTAAGAACTATAGTAAATTGGACCAATTAAATACATTAATATCTAGTCCCGAGGTTATTGATCTCTTGCTTTTGGATTTTCTCGTAAAAAGTTATAGCGTAAACTTATCGGTGTCAGTTTGAAAAAAGCAACCTTACCCAAACAACTTTTTGTTATTTAATAGATTACGCATTCTCTAAACAATGATTAGTATATCTATTAACATTAGAAGGAAATGTGACGAAAATCACACAATGTTGGGGTTTTGGTCATTTGTAATTTTATTTTTTAAGTAGGTAGGCCATGTATTCTATGGAAAAGTACCGGTATCAAGGATCGTCGTCAAAAAGGTTGTTATGAATAAATATGTAGGCTTACGTACCCAAGATATGAGCTATGGGCCTATTGGCTGTATGGTCCAGCGATTGCATCACACGGTGAGTAGAAACAGAAAGTGACACATTGGAAAAGCGAGTTTAGCACTTCCTCTGTTAAACCTCAGTTACAATCACCCACTGCAGTTTACACTTACTTTACACAACCGCCATTGAAGCGCCGTCAATGAGTGGAAACCTTTTTTGTAAGCTATTGGCGACAATCATTTCAGTGTCACAGCCCTATACAACACTGATTCAAGGTCTTCTTCTTTCTGGTTGTCAAAACTCAAGAAACATTTTATACTCAAAGAATTTCTGGTTCCGATTTGGACGATGTCTAGTTATTTAATTTCATTTACGGTTACACTATTAGACTATATTATTGCACTTGCGATTAATTAAATCCGTTATGTAAGAAAAACGTTTTTAATCTCACTTGGTTGGGATTTGCTTTCAAAACGTGATTCGAAATAGTTGCGGTATTTGTAAACAACATTTGTAAACATGTCATTGACAGCTAGAAAAAATAATCTTGATCCGAACAGCTGTTCGTTATTTCATAGACGATTATGTGATAAAAATTGAACGGAAATTTGACAAAAATCGCACAAAACTGCATTTTTGAACGTACGTAATTTTATTTACAAAGTAGTGAGGCTATATTTAAATCACTAAAGACACTCTCGCCAATCCAGTGAATACATTAAAATGACTTGGATCTTGATATGTACTCTGGTTTTCACGGAGAAGATTGCGTAAAATGCCATCTTGAGTGTTACAGACAAAGGGACAGACAGACAGACAGACAGACAGACAGAAATTGAGATAAGACTCGTTTCTGCTTCTTTAATGTATAAAACGTAAAAATAACCTAAACGTATATAATTCTGAGCAATGTACAGACAAAACTCTAATTTTATTTATATAGATTAGAATGAAATACATTTAAATGTTTATTTTTTTAAACTCATTTTAATAGTTTTTGCTTTGGTTAAAGTCAATATAAAATAATTTTTAGGCTTTCATAATTGTATGCAGCACTTGGCAACCTCTGGGTTCACAAATTGTCGTGTTGGTGAGGTTTTACTGTTCCTCCATCAACTTCATTTAACACGTTCGCTGCTGACCGCTAGATGCCGGGACGGCGTCAGGAGCTGAACTTAACGCTCGCCACAGCGTAACATTGCCACCAATACACTGAATTACAGTAAAAACAACAGTAGTTATACTGGATGGCAATGTTCTGCAATAAAACTGGCTTTGGACATAGTACTAACTAAGTGATTCTGATAGATAGCAGCACTAACCAGGTTGCAGTTGGTAAAGTAGTGTCGCTATCTAGCAGGAAAGAGGAGGGACAAAGCCCTGTTCTATAGGACCCTGGTGGTGATTTTGGGAAACTATATTTTTTATTGTCAGAAAAGTATGTCGCCACGAGCTGCAAAGAAATATAGGGCGCTCGCGACGAACTGGCTGATCCGTGGAAACGTTAAACAACAATGACCGGTGTCGTTCCGGAATGTTCCTAGCTCCTGGCGCTGTGGCCCGGCTAACGTTCCGGAATGTCCGTAGCAGCAAACGTGTTAAAGGGCTGTTTCTTTTGATCAGTATCTTGTTAAGAATAATCTATTGAAAAAGGAGTTGACTTTAATTCACACCAGTAACAATCCAGTTGTTTTATCTAAGCTTTCTCACACTAACTAGAACTTGTTATCGGATGCGCCCATAATTTTAAGTCAAACTGGAGTATTAAGCTTAATTTAATTTACCCATGGGATCAACGGAGGTAAATTTTATTTTAACGGAATTTTAAGCCTGATAACGTTTCTCACACTGCAAACAGCAGGTCTTATAAACAAATTTACTCACAAAACATCCCCAACTTCTTTACCTGTATTGCACTATCTTTAATTGGAGTGGTTTTGGGACAAAAAAAGTTGTAACAATGATAGAAATAATCCCTTAGTAGAAATTTAATCATTATGGATCAGCTGAAGGCAGTTTAGTTTAAGTCCCATCTGACCCCAATAGGTTTGTGTTTTGTTTACAATACGGTTTTTTGTTATTTAACCAAATACAAACATGTAATTACAAACGATAGCTTGTCTCCTGGTTGTATAACCAACAAGTACATTAACCCTAAATAATGGAAACAAAATAACGGTACTAGCGCCTAGTGTCACCAACGTCCATCATGAACTGATGAACATGGATATCAGAATTACTCAAGGTAAATAATTTAACACCGAAAGTATATAAAGAATTTTACTCACTAAAAATCAATCCAACTACCTAGACCCACCTCGACCTCTACCTCTAGAGAACCCTCCTCGCCCCCGGTTGCCTGGGGCTTTGCCCTTAGCAGGGGGAGATTTAGGCCTTAGTGCTTCAATGCGCTCGGTACACCCAGTGGTAATAGACGAGGGGTTGAAGTAGCTCGCATACAGATCAGCGTTGAAGTTGCTATTGGTCAACTCTGGTCCTAAAGTCAACCAACCCGGCCTGATGGTACTGTCTCGTCCAAACACGTGCAGTCTGTTACAAATACATAGACTTGTAAGTATTGTAGTTAGCTTTTTTTCAAATTAAAATCAATTTTAACCAATTGATGGCCAATATTTTATGGGAGCAAAAGCCTGAAGTTTAAATTTAATGAAGAAAATATTTGATGTTAGTGTTAAAACAAAACCTTATACAATCTTAGTCAGAGTATCTGCCTTGTTTAAAATTAAACTAAGACAACTGTATTTGATGACAAGTGATTGAACATAAAATCATGTTAGAGAGACCAATTAAGTTAACTATCCAAAAATGTTGTTATTCATCTCAATCCAGATCAGGGGGTTCATAAAAATTTAAATGAAATCTTTCTTGAGTTAGTTCTATAAAGATGGATGTCCTAATTTCAAATCCACTTGTTCCCTTCCACTTAACTGGAAAATTATGTAAATTTCACATAGGCAACCATGATGTAAAATATATATTATAATCACTTAACAGCGTCAAAGTAATTATAGGAGCATTATCTAGTATTAAGGTTTTGTAGTGTTGCGTTTTCTGACCTTTTTTTGTACATTTTATGAGTGTTGTAATTTGTAATCTTTTTCTCTGGTTTAAATTAGCTGATCACTATCCCATTGCAAAAATATCAATAAACAATCACTTCACTTGAATTTTCTTTGAAATATAAGCTAGCTGATATGAATTAATTTCAGTCTCATTTGCAAAATAGAGTTCTATACAGTAGTCCCGCTGTTCTGAAAATTCCCCTATTCAAAATAATTTGTTTGTACAAAGCTAACATGAGTTCGAGAAAGTTTCCCGTGGTCACAAAGATATCGTTAATATTAGGGATGGACGAGATTGGATTTTTAGTTCGAGACGAGACGAGACGAGATTTTTTATTTCTCATAAAATTTCGAGACGAGATCGAGACGAGATTTCTCTTCTCATGCACAACGGGAAATGCACGTTCGAAATTTTTACCTGATTTTGTAACATTGTTAGATGACTGTTTAAATACTAAAATAATGATAATAGGCAAGAATATTTACAATCTTTCATTAAATAACATCAGCATAACATTTTTTTATTAATCACGCCTAACTTATTAAAAATGCCTACGATTAGGAAACATGGTGATATCAGTTAGGATAGAGTTCAACTTATCCTAAAATAAAATAAATCATAAAATAAAAGCAATATTAATTTTTATAAAATAGTTACTTGTTTTGACTTTTTTTATAGTAATAAAACATTCCTCACACTGCTTACACTTAACAAAACTTCTCAAATGTTATTAAATTAATATTATTAAAATAATGAAAGTAATATTTACATTAAAAGAATTAATTAAATAAGAACGCCTTCGAAAAGGAAACGCAACTACAACACGCTCCTGTATTGCGGGTATTGCATTGACTTTCTGCAGGCGTTTTTAATTTTTTTTTTTTTTTTTTTTTTTTTTTTTTTTTATTCTCGTCTCGATTAAAATCTCGGCCAAAAAGTAATCTCGTCTCGTGTAACGAGATTGAAAATTTCCCGAAAATTTCCCGAAATTTCGAGACTTGACCATCCCTAGTTAATATCTTCTGTGGTCACAGAAACATCATCATTGGCACCTGCAATGGCAGAAAAACCATCACCAGCAGTCATGTCAAAATGGAAAACAATTTCTGCAGTCACGGCAAAACTGTGAACATCATCAGCAATCATGATGAAGATAAATTATTACAGAAACTCGCTTATTCTGAATTCCCGCTAGTACGAACAGGATTCGGTCCCAATTAGTTCACAATAATAGGACTTTACTGTATATAGTGATGTGGGCCGGGTAAATACCCAGTGGGTAGGTAAATATAAATCAGGCCCGGGTAAATACCCAAAAACTGGGTATTTATAATATTTATTAAAGTTAGAGAAGATTGAGATGTTTTTTTGCAATTATTACCCTGGAAGAATAGTAAAATGATGATAAAATGTGTTAAACAAAATTTCATATGGTCACTTCTAGCATTTTACTTCTGGTTATAATCGCCATAAATACCCAGGTCTCAGCACAAAGCATAATCGGCATAAATACCCTGGTCGCATGGTTGCACTGGTCCTAACTACTTATTAGTGATGGGCGATACGGACGCGTATCGCGATACAGCGATACGATACGTATCGGAAAAAAATATTGAAAAACGATACTATCGTATCGTTTCCCCCTCCCCTACCACAAGAAACGACAAATTTATACTGTAATATAGGTACCTGGGGACCGAGCTTTGCTTGGGGAAAATCATTAGTTTACTCTGAAAACAGTCTATGGCAGATACATTAATCCATTCCCAATTCCCACACTCCACACTGCTCGCCTTTACTACTTCCTTCACAACTCCCTACGTCTTGGACCTGTTTCCCTATCCTTCCCATAGCATTTTAGGATTGCAGATACATTAATGTAATTGCCACAGACAGTTCCCACATTCTGCACTGCTAGGCTAGATAGGATAGAACCTTTGACTATTATTAGTCAATGATAGAACGCTAGTGGAAATGGACTGGAGCTGGACTGTGGACGGGACTGGTACATTATCATATCAAGTAAAAACCAAAAATACCACTGAGCTAAAATTATAACTGGAGGTAGCACTGCCATGGCAAAAGTCTGTCAAAAGCGTGTCGCTGATTTTGTTAGGTTGGTATAGCAGTGAGTTTTTTTATCCAATAACATGGCTTCTATAACTAGGTTGGTATAGCAGTGAGTTTTTTTATCCAATAACATGGCTTCTATAACTAGGTTGGTATAGCAGTGAGTTTTCTTATCCAATAACATGGCTTCTTATAACTCACACCTCACGCAAACATGGCGGCTGGCGACACGCATCTTTGACATTCAGTGCTACCTCCAGTTAGAATTATAGCTCAGTGAAAAATACAGATGTCACAAACTCCTATTTCAAATTTCAAACTACACATCCACAGAGTACAGATTTTGCAGTTTGCTCGGCCTCCACAGAAAAATCTTAAAAATATCGTTTTGATATGAATCGTATCGCTCTATGTGCCGATATAAATACAAATATCGTTTTAGGCGATACGATACGTATCGTTTTTCAAATATCGTATCGAAATATCGCATCGTCCCTCGCGTATCGCGATATTCCGATACGATATGATACGTATCGCACATCACTACTACTTATGATTTTTCTACTTATGAATTTCTATGATAGATAGATGAATTTATTTTATTGAAAGTGAAGAAAAATAATTTGCAAAGTAATAATTATTATTTAGAAAGACAGGAAAATTTAACCTAGTAGTGGCCTATGTGTAAACAACTTAAGAAAATAAGGGTACACTTCCATATCTGTTGGCACAAACAACCGAATGAGTAATATTGATTATTTGACTGTTAAATTCGATATATCGATCAATATTTTCATTCCGTTGTTTGTGCCAACAGATATGGAAGTGTACCCGAAATAATTAAAACTCAATCTGTAGGATGGCAGGATTTAATAATATTTTTGTTCTAGATATTTTGTTAGTATCAATGGTATCAACATAAAAAAAAAATAATTTCATAAACTTGTGATACAAAACATTCGAATCTATAGCACAATAAATCTTTTGAAATGATATTGAGTTAGACCAAAAAAGAAGAGATACATTCTTTTTGTAGGTTTGTCCAAATATATTATTGTTTCCAACTAAGCGGTAACACAGAAAAGTTTAATTACTTTTAGTATTCTGCCATTCTGCCTATGTCAATCAAGCATTAGGTCTGTCTAGCCTTCCAAGCCATGTAATACAATAAAAATTTTTACTATCATAATTTAATAACATTTGGATATTTATAAATTAAAATAATTTTGTTTATGCTAACTTATTTAATTGAAAAAAATTCATGAAAAAATTTAATTTATTGAAAAATTATGAAATGATAAAAATTGAAATAGCCACAACCTTTTTTAATATACTATTTTTAGTAAGTTAAATTTAACTGATGTTACTCGATTTAAGACACGAAACCCCATGCCTTTTGGAAACTTTAGGCTATGTATTATTTTTTTAAAGTGCTTCAGTAAATCATTAAATAAAAGGTACTAGCATAGCTTCAAGTTGGCTGTAAAAGGTGTTATAGACTATCCTAATTTATCATGTAATATGATAACAATAACATATTTAGGGGTAAATATAAATGAATTTCAATCGATTTCATAAATACCCAAAATACCCGGGCATTTATGGATTTTGGGTATTTACCCGGGTAATTACCCAGGGTATTTACCCCGAGTTTTAAATACCCGGGTATTTTACATCACTAATAAGACTTCAAGACAGGTGATTAATTAACACAGATGGTTATAATGACACACAGGTTTATAGCCGCAGGTCATCCTTCCACCACCAATTTTAGTTACCAACCTTCTGCGGCCGAGACAAAAGTGTTCAATGATGTGGAAGATTTCAACAGGTTTCTCCAATGATCCATACTCTGGCTCTTCACTGATAATCAGATCAATGTCTACATTTGCATGTATGAAATCTCCATCTGTAGAACGCCGGACTGTTCCTTTTATACCCATCAGACAATGTTCCTACAAGACATAATCCTGTAAATGTGTTGACATTTGTATGTTACTCGACAAAATCCCAAGCAAAGAAAGAAAACTATCAATCATTAAATATATTGGATAATTGAACAGAATGATGCTGACCTAAAATTTTGTAGATGGCAAATCACGTTTGTTTAAAGTTAAACCAAAGGATTGAAAATCATTTGAGATATGAAACTTAAAAGATTTTAAGTTATTGAGGTGCAATTAGTGAAGTTCGTTAAAAGTATTAGCTAGGCTAATGGTTTTTATCTTTTACCTCAAGACTTCAAGAGGATTATTGATCTTGAAACTTACTTTAGTTCTTTGAAATACTGCTTTTGACTCAATGTTTTTGGAATGGCCAGGATTTTTAGCATTGGTGCGTATCCAGCAGATGTCTTCACACCTACGAAAGCCCCACTTGCGTAGACAGAAGCGGCCCATATCTAGACCCTCCGAGGACCCACACCACAAAAACACGAAACTGCGATTGGCCGACACTTCTCCAATGTCAAGTTGCATAATCTGAAACGGAATCAGAAATTGTTTGTAATATATACTCAGGCAACACATCATTTTCTCAGCTGCAGTCAATTTTGTTCTAATTGATAAGTTTATTTTTAGGACCTTTTCCGTTTTTTCACTACCACTACACAAGTTGTATGTAATAGATCTTAGGTTTAAGATATAGCCTGAAACCAAATACAGTATTCACACCTTAATAGGGAATGGGTTGCTGCAATAAGTTTTTCATGAATTTTACATAAACTACTCTTGGCCTAGAAAATGATTGTTGTATTAAACATACTTTGTGGGAACTTGAAACATTTTCCTTAGGGAATGTAAAGCTTGTCCAAGCAAATTCAAAGCAAAACTACCTGCTCCCAGCTCCAGAACTGTGTGTTAGTGACTCCCATAGTTCTCTGGTATTCTTCCAATGGGGGCTCAACAAGAATGACGTCAAACTTGTTGTTAAGCTCCTTGAAGTTGAAAGTTTGCAGTTCACATTTCAGAAACATTGGCGGAGTGGCAGTTGTGGCTATAAGGTCATCCTGGGGAAAAACAGTTTGTTAATATTGTCAATATTGTCCTGCTGAAAAGACAATATTGTCAGTAAACATGGTTATATCTGTATAAGATGTTGACTGCTTGTTTTCTATCTTGTTAGTTAACCTTTCTAAACAAGAGAAAAGGGCTTTTTAACAAGAGAACAAGAGCTTTTGAAAAGTAGGCTACCCAAATTGTGCTACCCCTGAAAATGTGCGTACCAGGCCTATGGTAGGCTACTACTCTAAGGTTTTGCTGGTTTAAGGCCCGGTTTCTCCAAGAAGCGTTTAACTTAAACGGGTTTAATGTTATACTGAGGATCAAGCCATCAATCAATTTCTCTATACAGTTTGGAACCATAGAAAAGGAATTTTGGCTGCCTTGATGTAGTATTTACACATTTATTCCATCTGTTTAACCCTTTCAGTGCCATGCAACGATATATCGTTGTGAGTCTTTTTCCCGAAAAGTGCTATGGAATGTTATATTGTTGTTTGCGTTTCATCCGAAAAACACTAAGCAACGATATATATCGTGCCGACGCGACTTTCGATCATGTAAGTTTAAATGAGCATATCAGTTGACTCGGTTGTAGCTTTGAAACAGCGATGGTTTCTTTCGATTCCTCATACAATCGAGGCCCGATAGGCCCTATATCGTTTCTTAGGCCTATCACTTTTGAGATGAAAAATTGTATTTTTAGCCTGATTTTTTTCTTGCACACTAGACTTCGCCCCGTGGCAAGCCTAGCACTTTTCGGACGAAATAAGTAAATAACTCTATAGAACTTTTCGGAAAATTACAAAAAAAATATTCTAGCACCCAAAGCGTTAATGCATATTTGGAGGTTATGTTTAATTCTCTTAGAAATAAGGAGAGACATAGACAGACCTGCTAGTTATGTTAACTTGAAAGACTCTGTCCCCCTAATAATAAATTGTACTTTTGTAAACCAAAAGTTGGGCAGAATAACCCTATCATTTATAATGATAGTTCAATATAATTTATAATTTAATCGAATAAACCATATTGGATACGGAGGAGTCCCAATAATCCGAACTTTCAGAAGTCCGCTTAATCCAAAAAAAAGGTTTTTTTTGTTTTTTGTCAGCTGTCGCCAGTTTTTGTTGTGTGACGACAGTTAGTTGTACCTTAGTCAATGGTTGTTCCTAGTCGAAGTATTCTGTATAGCGTCCGAGCAAAATAGACTTGTTGTTGTAGTCCAATAGCCAACTTAAACGTTGTGTATTTCATGATTAGGCTATGTGTATTTTAGTAAACATTTCGCTTAAGTTATCCAAAATATTACGAATAATCCAAAAAGGGTCTGGTCCCAACCATTTTGGACAATCGGGATTATAACTTCCTGTACAAGCATGATTTAGTAAAACTTCTTGATTCCGAACTTAACGATGGTGGGAGGGAGGGGGGGGGGGTTGGCACCGAGGGGATTTTTTTGGGTCTTTTTAAAATGAAGTCAAATAAAACATTAACCCTCTGAGTGTTATTTGTCGCTGCAGCGACTCACAAACACTGTTTACGGCGAAGGCTCTATGACTGACAAAAATCGGATTGAACTGGATCGAGTTAGGTATCGTTTTATTTCACAGATTCAGAGCTTTCTCCGGAGGTCTGTCTCTAAGCGCTACTCATTTTAGTTCCGAAAATATTGTAGCAGACAGCTGACGTGCGTATTTGTAAACAGCAGCGGTTAACCTCGGACCGATTACTGATGTGTTTTATTACGTTTATCATTGTTTTAGTGTTAAAAATCAAAAGTAGTGATATACGTGGTGCATTATAAGAAGATTTAATTGATTTTGAAGGGCTGGTTGATGATCCTGAAGAAGTAGGTAGTGATATTGATGTAAATTATCAGCCAGATTCCTAGCTATGGTTAGGCTATGCATTCTTAGCTAAACGCTATGTACTGAAATCTGTTTTTTGCCCATAACTTATTTATTTGCAAATCTACTTTCTTATATTATTATATATTTGTAATCCTCATAAAATCTAGAACAAAGTGGCTATTTTCAAATATTTATAGGCCTATAATTTATACAATTTCATTAAGCGCGAACTTTTTTTTTTTGAAAATTTCCTAAAAATATTTTTTTTACCTAAATTTTTTTTTTTTAAACAAATGTTCCTTATGTTCTATGTATAATATTGAGGCCCATGATTTTCCAAACAGATGGTATATAGAACAGTATAATTAACATTGTTTTCAAGCTTCTCAGATCCGTTTTAATAAAACCTTGCAAATGAGCAAAAAATAGGCAGACATTAAGGCCAAAATAAGGGACACTCGGAGAGTTTTAAAAACACAGCAAGCAGACCGATGTTGGTAATGTGAAAGTTGAGTCTAGGCTCAGCCTTCCGTAAATTTCTGCATTAACCTATCAACATCTGCCCATTCGTGTTTAATGTTTTATTTTATGGGCCGTATGTGTATGAACGCTAGGCTGTGTTTGTGGAAATGTATGTGAAAAAACTTTTAATCCTGACGAACTTCATGTGAAGTAATCATCGTTGTACGTACCTGATGATAACCTCTTAGCGGTTTGAAACTAGTTGTTGGAGACAACAATTGGATTGCCAGAATCAGGTATTTAAACCACTACCGACTTAATATTAAGTTAGTTATTTCTTATAGACATAGAACTTACCTTCAGCTTGATAAGCTCTCTCAGCTTAGGATATTCTTCAAACCTGTCTGCCAGGCCAACGTCTCGTATGAAGTTCTGAGGTCTTTGACCTGTATCTACAAAGTGCTGACAATAATCATTGTGAGGATTTGATGATTGTGTTCCCTGCAAAACAAAATGATCTCGTTTAAAGAGTTTGTTGATACCTATATGACTTATGTTTAAATTTGCTTTACAAAGACCTTACTTACCAGAAGCAAGATTTTTGAGAGAATGGTTCAAAGAATATTTTCTTTAAACCTTTGAATACAAAGGTGGATATAAGTTAGCTTCCACTAAGTTAACATTAACATAACAAAACCTTCACTTTACAGTTTATGTAACCATAACTCAACAAAAATGGCTGAAAACCGTACCGAAGGCACCTAGTGACCATATCTTGCATTAGCATACCTTCAAAAATGTTGAAGAGTCCTTGTAAACAAACTCATCAGAGGTTTCTTCCTTTTTTGACTTCTCTTGGGTTGTTTCAGGTTGAGGAGTTTCTTTCTTAACGACCTTTTGAGGGGTTGGTTCAATGGCTGTCCCTAGAGCTTGCCTTAGCTCGGCCACATTTGATACACCCAACTGGAAATTGAGAGTTTGTAAACTTCATTGTAAGTTAAATGCTTTAAAATTCCATTTAAAACCGATACATTCTGGGCTTAGAGCCCAGGTAGGCCTATGCGCTAATTGTCTTGTTCACTATGAATGCAGGGATGATAAGTGAACCAAAAGAATAACGGCTGTAATCTTAAGATTTTTAATAATAAGCTAAGTTAAATTAGGCTATACTCTGAGGTGAAAGAGAACATGGCAAACACAACCAAATAAGATCCAACTTAAACTGTGTGTTGTGGCTGCACTTTATTTTACGTCCTACACTCATTCAAATGAAAACATCGATATATGGATTAGGGTAGAGTGGGGGAATTGGGACCCATGTTTTTATTTTTTTCAATTAGGAATGTTTATTGTTAGAAAAAATCAAAATATGAGCATGCACAAGGTTTCCAACTGTAACTTAATTTGTCTTCTTATCACATGTTTTTCATTTTTTTAAATAAATTTTACTATGAAAAAAAAAAATTGGAACCCAAGTACCTACCCCGTGGTACCTATGCTTATACCTATGCTATTAGTGGGACCTATGCTTATAAACCCATAAGCACCTACCGGTAATATTAATTTGTGAGGGTAATAGGGTTCTAAAAATGAAAACATAATAGGCTAAACAAAATGCAACATACTTTTTTGGAAAAAAAATTTTTTTTAGGACATTAGTTTAAACAAACTATTTTTTCCAAAACATTTTTTCTTAATAAAATAGGAAAAATCAACCAGAGCAGATAACAGCCAGGAAATATAGATTTAAACTGTTAAAGACATGTATAGTTAAATAAAAAAAAAACTACAAGTATATTTTATGTCGAACTTTTTTTCTGGTCATATGCAAACTTTCTGGAATTTTGCTTTTTCAGCCGAAAGAATTTCTAATGAATTGTAGTTATCAGTCCAAATACCTATAAGTTGAAATAGGCCAATTATGTGCTTAGCTCACTCTTGGGTCCCATTTCCCCACACCGGGGTAATTGGGACCCATTTAACCCTCCAAGTGTCCATAGTTTAGGCCTTAATGTCCACCTATTTTTGGCGCATTTGCAAGGTTTTATTAAAACGGATCTGAGAAGCTTAAAACAATGTTAATTCTAATGTTCTATATAACATTTTGTTTGGAAAATCATGGGCTTCAATATTATATATAAAACATAAGGAACATTTTTTCAAAAAAAAAATTTTTAGGTAAAAAAAATATAATTTCAAAAATTTTCAAAAAAAAAATAAGTTTGCGCTCAATGAAATTGTATAAATTATAGGCCTATAAATATTTGAAAATAGCCACTTTGTTCTAAATTTTATGAGGATTACAAATATATAATAATATAAGGAAGTAGATTTGCAAATAAATAAGTTATGGGCAAAAAACTGATTTCAGTACATAGCGTTTAGCTAAGAATGCATAGCCTAACCATAGCTAGGAATCTGGCTGATAATTTACATCAATATCACTACCTACTTCTTCAGGATCATCAACCTGCACTTCAAAACCACTTAAATCTTCTTATAATGCACCACGTATATCACTACTTTTGATTTTTAACACTAAAACAATGATAAACGTAATAAAACACATCAGTCATCGGTCCGGGGGAACCTAGCTGTTTACAAATACACGCACGTCAGCTGTCTGCTACAATATTTTCGGAACTAAAATGAATAGCGCTTAGAGACAGACCTCTGGAGAAAGCTTAGAATATTACGGAAAGAACGATACCTAACTCGATCCAGTTCAATCCGATTCAGTCAGTCATAGAGCCTTCGCCGTAAACGATGTCTGCGTGTCGAAAAATCGACAAGTAACACTACACAAAGTGTGCTGCTTGTCAAATTTTCGTCAAGTAACACTGGGAGGGTTAAAAAAAAATGTATAAAATTAATTTTTTATTTTTTTTTATGTTAAAGCCCTAACAAACTACCTATTGCTTAAACCTTTAATAAGTCAAAAAATACATTTTGGTATGATTATTAATTCATAGGCTATAATCTATAGGTACTTATTTAATACGCAAGCAGGATTTTTGTGACAATTACTCCTCCGAAACTACTGAACCGATTGACATGTTTTTGGTGTCATTGGAAAGAGCGTAACGTGAAGTTGTGCAGGAAACTTTCTTTTTAGGGAAATAATTAGAGAGTGATGCCATGGGGACCTTTAAAGTTTCGTATTTCTCCATAAGATTAACACGGGAAACAAAAATTGTTTTGAAACTCCAGCTGTTGTCAGAAATTAAATATTCATAATTAATTGGTCTCCATGGAAGCATGATAAAATTCACAATGTTTACATTTGACATTTAAATGTAAACAACCAGAACTGTCAGATGCCTATTTCACAATTTCAGACAGCTGATAAAAAAAATAAAACAACTATGTGGTAGGTTTATTTAATCTTAAACTTTATGAGAGATTATTTATTATAAATCTATTTCAACGATTATGAAACAGATTTTTCCCGTTGCGAAGCAAAAATTAATAGTTAGAAGAAGAACATATGTTAATTGTAAACAGTCAATGTGTATGTTGTATTACAAATGTGTATTGTTTTGGATGGTGGTTTGTGTTTAATGATATAAGTTATTAGTTATTAAATTTTTATTTTAAGGATTTGGCATATGGGTAAGCCTATGATAAATAACACCATTTCAGAGTTCTGCCAGGTTTTGCCTAACTCTGTCCTGTAGAGTTTAAAGTAGCCTACACCTTATTGTCTACAAATTGGCTAAATAGCTTAGGTACGGTACTTTATAAAAGCTACCAGCCTTTTTACGTTGACTTAAATTGTAAGCTTACCTTTTCCCGTCCATGGGCAGTTTGATTGTTAAAAATTCACCCTTTAAACTGGAATAGGACTGTGAATTGTGAGTATTTCCATTGGTTAATAATCTTTTAGTTGACTCTTTTAAAATCATTGGAAATTATGACTGTTATTAGTTTTTGAACAAGTAATTTGTTTATAAATAACTCCTGTACTTCTTTCCAATTGCTCGATTTCGAGCAACATGTACACTACCGGTAGTATATAAAAAATAACTCAAAATACTACCACGCTAAAGTTTTGCCACAATATGTTTAACATTCGGAAAAAAACACGGCTTAATTTTTTTTATACATCAAACACAAGATTACAATTATCCAATAATTTGTGATGAAACCCCTTTAGAATGCCTAAACTTTGACGTATTTACAATTTTGTTTAAAAAATAAATATAATATACAAAATTTAAAAAAAATAGCTCCCAATCTTACCCCCGGGTCCCAATTTCCCCACTCTACCCTATTTGATAGCCTATGTCGATTTGGGCATTTCATTCGGTTAGTTAGATTAGGTATCACTATAACTAATCAAACTTGATTTATCGAAATGAAAAAATCGCTAGGCCTATATCGATTGATTTATTCATTCAAATGAGTGTAGGACGTAAATTTAAGTGTAGCCTGTGTTGTTTATAAAATAATAAATTTGCTTCATGTTTCATAGGCCAGAAACATTTCACTAAGTTATCTTTTTCTCATAGGCTACTGACCGCATTAAAGCAGCATTAGGCCTATGATAGCTATAGCCTACCTACAGTTTCTAAAATTTATTTTATCTAGGCCTACGGTACCTAACATAACAAAACCTTCACTTTACAATTTATGTAACCATAACTCAACCAAAATGGCTGAAAAACGCACCGAAGGCACCTAACTTAGTGACCATATACTTAGGCCCCTACCCAGAGTTAGAAAAAAACTTCAACGCTTGATGACCATCCGGCAATTTGAAATTGAATGTGTAAAAAAACAATTTACAATGCCAAGCTACATGATAGGCCTAAACATAGGCCTATGCTACAGTACACATCTTATACTGTAGTCTTACCGTTTGAGCCAATAACTTCTTCCTTTTCTGAGATCTCTCTTTCAATTCCCGCAATTTTTCACTCATTGCGTAGTTTACGTTACAGAATGTTATACAAGGAAGCCTGTTAGCATGTTAGGCCTAAATTAAAATATGAACTAGGGCCTAACTGGGCCCTAACTTAGAGAATGGGAGTTTCCAGGTTCCAATCTCTCTGGTGAAAATACTTTTACTGTAAATTAATTAACATAATGCACATTGGCATAACCATGAAAAAAAATATTAGGTCTATATTGTTTAATGCATTCTAATAACCACAAACCACAATATTAATAAATATTAACTAAAACAAAACATCAACAGTAAAGTAACCTCACTCAAACCCAAAAACTAAAAACGTCAATAACGAAACAAAACAAAACAACCCAATCTTGGAATCTTGCAATCTTTTCTCCTTTTTCCTTGACTGCTTTTGCAGGCTGCACTTATAGTCATGAAACCGTGAAGCATCAAACTTAAGACACGGACTCTAGTACCATTGTTTATAGTCAATGTATAATGAATGGGTTGCATCTTTATATAACATATAAATATATTTTTATAATATATTAATATATCTGGACTGCTCATTGATAATAGTGCTCGCCTGGTAATCAAAGGTCACCTTTTCAATCCTTTTGGCCTTTCAATATTAATTATTGTCCTGACTAATGAAAGATGTTTCATTAGTGACACCTAGTGTAGCAGCTCTGTTACTGACTAAGACCTGACGAGCTTCGGCAACACACTTTATTCTACTCTTATCAATCACTCATATTTGGGTTAAAAAATACGCACCTTAGGCACGGCACCTTTAACTCCAGGTCGCGGTCTGGTAGAATTGGCAACGTCGCAAGGAGTGATGTTTAGCGCCAGACGTCCCATAAGATAACATGGCAGACAGGTGACACCATCTCATTAATTCGCGTATTATTGGTTTAAATTTAAATTTATGAATAAAAATTTATAGAAAAATTGAAAATAAAATATAATAGAATTTAAACCAAAACAATAAAATTTGAAAATAAATTTTTACATTTTTAATGTCAATATTTTCATAGCCCAATAACCATAAGCTTTCATATCCTAAAAAATATGCAAATACTACAAACAACTACAAACAAAACAACTGGAACAACAACACTACTTGCAACTTTGCCACTTCAAAGGCCGCGGCCTGGAGTTAAAGATGGTCATGACCTAGGTGGTGTCCCCACCTTACCTAGAAATATAATTTTAATAATATGATAGTAAAACATCCTCCAAGCCAAAAAGAACAAATTTATCGGGTCGTGGTTAGCAATGAACGGCTAGAAACGGATAGCGAACCATGCGTCATTCAGTCTTAAGGTCGATTCACACATATCAGTCCAGTAACAGTTCAGTCTCAGTTGCATCCGCAATTTCTCAGTCAAAATCAAAATCAAAATCAAATCATTTATTGCCGTAAAACATACAAAACATACGTATGGCATCGTCATATTTTACAATAAATTTCTATTTACAAAACTGGACACCTTAAATAAGTGATAAATTCGTCAACATCATGCACACTTAATTCTATCAAAAGAGATTTCAAATGCACTTTGAATTTCTTATCATCTAAGCATTTTACATTATGTGGCAGCAAATTAAAGATTTTCTTACCTAATTCAAAAGTAGATTTAATGGTAGTCTGATAATTACATTGGTGAATTCTGATAAAATGGCTCTGTCTGGTAAAGTATGAATGTACTGAATTGTTGGCAGGAATATTATTAAGATTTCCTTTAATGTACAACAAAGAATCCAGTAAGTATAATGAAGGTACAGTTAACACACCAAGTTTTCTAAACAAAGGTTTACAGTGAGTTTTTCTTTTTACTTTACAAATGATTCTTAAAGCTTTCTTCTGCAAAATCAGTAATTTTTTAACGCTGCTGTCACATCCCCACACTACAATTCCATACAATAGGTGACTCTGAATGTGAGCAAAGTATATTGACATCAGAACATCAAAATCAACAATCAACCTGAGACGTCTAATCATAAAAATACCTTTACACACTTTTTTGCACACACTGACAACATGATTATTCCATTTAATGTTAGGTTGCAGAACTATACCTAGAAATTTAACCTCTTCACCCAGATAGCACACTTTATCCCAGGGACATCCCATAGTAGTCCCATATGTCCTGAGAATGTCTCGGGATATGTGCGCTATCCTCAGGATATCCCGCAAAATCCCGGGACGAGTACGAAATCCACAGGATATCCTACAATATACCGTAATGTCCCGGGATTTGTAAGTTAACCTCAGGATATCCTGTAAAGTCCCGAGATATGTACGAATGCCATAGGATATCCCAGAATGTCCCATGACATCCCGGGACATGTAAAAAATCCACTGGATATCCTGTAATGTCCCGGTAACAAACTGAAGAAAAAAATACTACCACTGATGAAATGTACAGTATATCTAAATTTAAATGTTCAACAAGGCCAATATATAATAATTAGTTTTTTTCACTAGTGCTTTCAGAAACTTGGTTTCCATCTTCAGGCTGTGTTTACACTAGTACAGAAAGTAAATATTTACTTAATAAATTAATGTTAAACAAAGTTAAAACAAATGATTTAAAGGATATTGGAAAAATAAAAAATAATATGAGAAAAATTAATCTTTTGAATTTTGGATATGTTACAGTGTTGTTCTTGATGTAATTATTTTCAGTAATTCCGAATTTATAATTGGGCCGTCTTCATTATTTAACAAATAATTTTGGTCTGTTTTTTTTTCTAAAAATAAGATTCCCACGCATTAAGATGTTGAGGTTTTATAATTTATTTTAAAAGTTTAAGGTTTCCCAGATTGAAAATATGTCTTGTTAATACTATGGCTAGCAAGGGTTGACTTTACTTTACTGACATATTACTACCACTGAGTTCAGGAAAACTAGAGTTCTATCATAGTTGTGTGAAATGTGAATTTAATTCTAACTTTAAATTAATAAAACAACAAAAAACTAATTTTAATCATATAACAATCAATTATTACAGTGCTAATCTAATGGTGATTAAATAATCTATATTCAAATACCAGTATCCTCTCCAACTACCAGAAAAACAATTCAACTACTTGAGGCCTAAACAGATTAACAGAATCATATATAGCCTATACTGTAGTATCAAAAATATTTTAAGTATTGCGACCATTGCAACTGTCGGCTACTCTTTAACCACTTGAAAACACCCATAATCAACAAGCGCAGATAGCTCAGGAGGTAAGGTAAGAGGCTCACAAGGCGAAGGTACCAGGTTCGAAACCCGTCTGCGCCAAAAACTTTTTTCTCGTTTTTTTTCTTCAAAATTTGTGTTTATTAACTATTTAATCAATTTACTAAACTTATAATTAAGCTTTTCATACTAAATCTATATTATTTTGTGTTTTTTATGTTCAGGCCCAGACCACACTTTATCCCAGGGACATCCCATAGTAGTCCCATATGTCCTGAGAATGTCCTGAGGACTACCCTGGGATGACCTCGGATGTCCCACGGATATGCGTGTGAGCTTATCCGTAGGACATCCCCGGGCGGGGACATTACGCATTCCTGTGGATATCCTGTGATATCCCAAGTTGACCATAGGACCACTATGGGATATCTTGCATATCCTGTCGCAATATCCGTGGGATGTCCTGAGGAGAAAGTGTGCTGTCTGGGCAGGTGTGTAGTGAGAACAAGAACTTAGGTTAAATTTGAGGATTTGAGTTTTCTTCTTGTTGAGACACAGAAAATTTGCAGCCGTCCAGTCCTCAACAGTCATGTTGATATTATTGAGAATCTGATTCGCTAAATTATCATTTGATCGCAACTTATCTGAACTGCAAGGTCATCAGCGTACATGTATGGCGATACACAAACATTACTTAAAGCTACTGGTAAATCATTAACATATATTATAAACAGAGTTGGACCAAAAATTGAACCTTGAGGAACACCTGTGTCAACCTTTAAATACTGAGAGGAACTACCATTAAAAAATACATATTGATATCTGTCTGACAAGTATGACATAACTAACCTAACTGACTGATTATCAAAACCGTAGAACTCAAGTTTTCTAGCCAAAACATCATGGTTTATAGTATCAAAGGCCTTGGACATATCATAAAAGCTGTTAATAACATTTTTCTTACTGTCTACATTGAAAGTACTTTCTTTCATAAAATTAACAATGGCGTCTTTCGTACCACGCTTGGGCCTAAAACCATATTGTTTGGGGGTGAACAATGAATTGTCCTCAAAGTAATACAATACCTGCTTGTTTAGCACTATTTCTAAAACCTTTGAAATCACTGGTACGATTGTTATCGGACGATAGTTTGCATAATCAGATTTGGAGCTCTTTTTAAACAATGGAATAACCTTAGAAAGTTTAAGACATTGAGGTACGACAGAAAACACAATACACAGATTTAGCAGATAACATAATACTTCAGCGATAAAAGGTGAAGCGAGCTTCATAATACGAGAGTTGAGGTTATATACATCTAGACTTTCACTACTTCCATTGACTTTATATCTCTCTACTACTTAGAGAATTGATTGCATTGTGCACATTTTCAACAGACACACATTGAAATGAAAACTTTGATGACTCATTGCTTGGCCTATTATACAACTTATTGTTACACAATTTGTTTAGGTAATAATCTATTGTATGTTTTGATTGAGGTATATCATGAGCAATGGCACTAACATTACTAATAGAAAAGTCATTAAAACCATCGCAAGAGAGATCATCTTTTTCCTTAACAATTATAGGTAAATCATTTTTATTTAAGCTCTCTTTAACCACAGACCAAATTGCCTTAGGTTTGTCCTTGGCTTTGATGACCCTTTCACAATTATAAGACAACTTAGCTGACCTAACCTCTTTTTGGTACCTTGCTTTAAGCTTTTTGTAGAATCTTTCAAATATGCAAAAACCGTGAAGTGATTGTCAATAGTCCGTCAGTTGGTTTCCGTCTCTAAAATTCACAGTAATTTACAGTCAAAAGTTTTAAATTATAAACCTATATTCTATCAAGTTTTCATTGTCCATCTTGTTAATTGTTACAAACAGTACCTACTTAAAATATAAACAAAAAAAACATTTTAACAACAATAACACTATTTTCTAACCTTAAACCGGTCCGTCAGTCGTCCGAACAATCCAAAAGTATCGGTGGAAAGAAATCTGAAATTAACTGACGGATGCCGGTAGAGCGACTGACGGGACTGCAACGGATAAGTGTAGATAGCGCAATAGAAAATCCATTAAAGAATATTTTTGTTAACTGTGACGTGCCTGAAGTGACTGGACTGTG